AGAAAAAATCACCATATTTTACTACTTGTGTTCTGTCAGACAAAAAGCTGTTTAGCTACTGTAACAAATTTCCAGTGAAACTGTAAGCAATTAATTTGGCTCGAAATATTGAATAGCTTACCGAGTCAAACACTTTAAAGAAGTCTGTATGTATAGCATCGATTTGAAGACGTTTTTCAATATTATTTGTCAAATACTAGGTATAACATAAGGTTTGTTATTGTTGAATGCTCAGATACAAAACTACGTGGTTTCAAGGATAATGTTTTTGAAAATAAATTGTAATCTCTTAACTATAATATTATCAAAAATGTTGGATATTACATTTTGGATATTAATTAGTTTATAACTTTGAATATTTGATGGATCCCCACTTTTATATATACGGCAGACTATATCTTTTTTTCATTTATAAGGAAAGATAACCGAGGCCAAAAATTTATTGAATATTATCCACAAAATTCTTTATATTATAAATATACACGATCTTAATATAAGTTTAGATATGTTTAGATTTGTATCAAGACAGTAAGTATGGGCATATCCTGCATCATCATTACAAACGGATACAAAATCTGAGCATTGAAAATAGAGACATTATTGTTAAAAGTTATGCCATTATAATCTACATCAGTCTGCCACGAATTAGATTTTGACATTGGATTTTGACATGCAATTTATTAAGGTTCAGAATGATTTAACATTGGAATATTGGACACTATGCAGTTTACATAGTTAATCCAATACTTTCATTGCAGTTTTTTATATGACGATTTAAAATTCCTAAAAGCAAGATAATCTGATGATGAATCATATCGTTTAAAACTAAGCTGTGAAAATTTTTTAGATTTGGTAATATCTATGAATTCTCTGATATATCAAGATGGGTAGGAGGAATGATAGTATTTAACTATTTGAACATAGCAGTCTATTGGTCTATTGGTAATCTTAGCAGTCTATATGTAATGGTAGATGAAAAAGATTAGATTCTAACAAAGATTCTGAGGGTAATGAAACAATTAAATCACTGAAAGAGGAAAAGACTAAATCCAAAGGCCTATCTTCGTAATTCTTTATGGAATAATGTCATAGGTTAAGGAATTTTACAGGAAATATAATGAACAAATTATATATGTAGGTTGTTTAAAGTTAATTTAACGTATACTACTGCGTTCCACCCAGAACTTAATAATAGTTTAAAAAAGGCACATATGGTAATTAAAGACTTTTTGAGGACGTATGTATTATTGAATGATACCAACACTTTTTGACACGATTTCTTAGAGGCAGCTGTTTTCACGTATAATAGTACTATTTATTCAAACACTAAATTGAACACATATTCTTTAGTTTTCGGTAGAGATTCATCGCATTTAGATCAATTGCTAAATAATGAAAAAAAGACAATTCAGAATTAACTAATTAAAGCTCACAAAGTACATATTCACAAATTTTTGTCAGCAGCCAAATTTAAAAGAAAACAGTAAACAGAAATCGTAACAACATATACAGGATATTTACGAAATCGTGGTGCAACTGTTAAGGAGGTGATTCTTTTTTCATATGAGCCTTAATTTTCGAGAAAATCGAATTTGAAAATTCAAAATAAATTTGCAGAATCAATGAATTTTTATCTCAGCTAATTTGCCGAGCATACATATGACACAAAAATTTCTCACAAATAGAAACACATATATTAATAAGCGTTAATAAAGTAACACTGAATAAATCTGGCATCGCAATTTCACTATCTTTGACACTATACTATTCAACAGAAAAATATGTTTCAAAAACAAGAGTTTTCTGGTTCAATATCAGTTATTTTTAACACTGTGGACTCTGCACAGAATTTTATTCTTTTCGATTAGAAAGTTTGTGGCCCCTTTCTTATGAGTTTATTTCACGGATAAATTCTGTAGCACTTTTTATTCTTTTAGACTATAAACAAACTCATTAAAAAATTATCACTTGATCAGTTGAGGATTACTTGACTGATTTAATTGTCCTATTCTACTCATCTTGTTTTTTTCATTATGGTTATTGAAAAGCTCTTTTTCTACCACATTTATCAACAATGACTTTATATCTAGAACTTTACCTTTCATAAATATTGTCTCTTTTTACGGTGAAAAATTGGTGAGGAAATAGTTCATTGATAACTTGATTGTGTTCTATTTGAAATTATTAGTTTAAAAGACAAAAAGTAGATAATAAATTTATGATATGCTATAATGTGTGTTGTAGTTATTTACAAAGTAAACAAACAATTATGGAAAAAATCTTATTTGTATAAAGATGTTATCATTTGTTTTAAGAGAATATGCTTCAATAGGATATACTTTAACTTTCAAGTGGTGATCACTATTTTCATAGCACTAATGGTAATGTTATGTCAAATTGACTTCCTGTCATCAATAATGATTTAAAGACAAATTAACTCAATATCGCAAATAGTTACATGATGTTAATTTGACGTATCCTTAGGTGGAGGTATATTCTACTTGTATTAAGATGCTATTATTTGTTATTTGACTTCAAATCACCTCTATTGATGCAAAATCAATTTCATGTCAAGTCATTACTGTTGTAGTGCTAGGAGTCAATTTGACGTAAATCACCACTAGTGTTAGGAGTCAATTTGACATATGTTACCAATCTAAGGTCAATCGCTAGTATGCCTAGAAAAATATGAACATTAATATTCATATTTAAATTATTAAAATATGCAACTACAAAAAACTTACATATATGTGCATTTTGTTCAAGGAAGAAATAAAAGGAAAGATAAACATTGTGTGATTTATATTCCATAGGTTTTTATATTAAATACTGAACTTCAGTTTGTTCAGATTATAAAACATTATTGTAGAAGAATGCTTTAATTGGAAAATTTTGTTTAAAGTTACACAAGTAACATATAAATTATATTTTCTATCCATGCTATAAATCAAAAACTGATATAGCAACAAAGTATTATAAAAAAGGATATATTGAATAAATATGCTTTATTAGAAAGTACCTTTTAAATTTTTCTTTCCTTCTTTTAATGAGAAAGTAATAGATTGTAATCTTTTTTAATATGCTTGAAGAAAAATAGAACAAAATTTTTTTGAAATGTTACATAATATTTGAAGTATTTAGATTTTATTTGAGATTGCCTGTAAACTCATAGTTCTAATAATATGTAATAGTTTGGTAATTAACATCGTATCTTGTAATAATAAGTTTAATCCAGCTAGTTTAATACTTTGAAGTAATAAGAATTTATAGATTCATTCTAATCATTCAGTGAGGCGTACTTTTGTAATGAATTCAAGATACCAGATTATAGTTAAAGAATATAGCTTTAAACATAATTTTGTTATTGTTGCAACCAATTCTGTTAGTAGCTGTACTGTATACTAAATAATGTAATAACACTGCTCATATGAGAATTGTTAGTCTTATTTTCAACAGCTAAATTATGCACTTGGGATTATTATTAACTTTTTTTCATAGTATATTATGGTAATAAACATTATTCTTTATTAATAATAAATAAACAATACATAAAAATTATAACTATCATATATATAAATTAATATAGAAGCTTATTAATATTTACAAATATGGAACTTCCCTGAAATATTTTGTGAACTTTCGAAATAATTTGGTATTGTGATGAATTATATTTGAAATACTTACAATGATTTCAAAAAAATATGAGTTAAACATGAAGCATAAAAAAATTGACTAGATTATATACACATTTCAGGTTAAGAGAAACCTGACTTCGACAAAATTATTGATATGAAACCAAAGGCTTAGGATAATTAGTTTCTGATGAACAAATTATATAGTTAGTTATAAAACCGTGTTGAAAAATACTTATAAGTATAAATATTGATATCTATATATGTTACTTTACATGAAATGTTTATGATTTTCTAAAATCAACTAAAAATCGATTTTTGTAAAACATAGTAATATAGATACAGATTTTGAAAATTGAAAACAAAAATGATTAATAGTCAAAAAAAACACAAAATAAAAAATTCTAGTGAAATTAGTATAGAAGCTTACGTGACATGATTAAAAAAGATTTTTATTAAATTATTTGTCATATACAATTAAGTTTATTTAATTTACAATATCTCATCATCAACATATACATTTGTAGAGTCTGGAAAATGAAAAATTATAATTAGAATATTATTTTGAGTGGACTGTCATATTGTCGATTTCTATTGCTTTGTGCTGTACATCAGCCTTAATAGACTATGTATATACTTTATAAATTTAAGCGTGAATTTGGATCTATGATTAGTATTTTATAAAAGTTAATAAATTTATATCACGTTATGTTATACATTACTACATTATAATTTTTTACAATCATTTTCTGGTTGGACTAATTTTTTATAAATTCTTAATAATAATGCAATTGTCTGCAAAATCACAATTAACATTGTGTATGCTAATTATCTTAGAAATAGGTATATATATGTAGGTAAATGAAAAAACTTATTGTAATACAAAATTATTCTAATTTCTAGACAGTATATTGGTAATGTAGTAGATTACGTAAACGAAATAAACTTTTTCTTAAAACGGTTACTTTGTTTAAATACTTCATGGCATTTATTGAAACACCAAGATAATCAAAAAATTGTTTAACTGTAACAACTTATAAATTAATTATTATTAATTTCAAAATATAGATATTTTAATACTTTTTAGTACAGGCATAAACGTACAACTTTATTTGCAAGAGAGGTGCAATTGTACGTTTTCATATATTGATGCACACACGTGTACAAAATTAATTCCAGAATATACTCCATTTTATACCATTTCATATTATTTTATGACATTTTATTCCATTTCTAATCATTTTTAAGGTATATATAATTTATTCTATTTGACAATGAGTGAGTCGTCTTGTTAACATTGATTTTTGGGTCGTACCATCATACCGGTTTAGTAACGAGAAAAATCTTTGTTTACAGTGTGATGAAAAGCAAGACACGTGGGATCATTGCATATTGAATTTATGAAAGAAACGAGCAATAAACATTTTTAAAATTTTTAATACCATGGACGTGTTTGAATTAAGTATTTGGAAAGGTGATTGGGGTTTACCAACAGTTGACACGGAATGTTTGCAAGTTTTGGTATGTAATTTGAATATAGGTTATAATGTATTTTCATTGTCATAAGCGTTACAGGTTACGAAATGTTTTAGTTACTTATAAATTTTATAAGAGTAAGGATCGTAATTACAGTAATTACAGTATATTAATATAAAATGTATGTATTTTCGAAATATAAATAGAGTGTGCTTGTTAGTTATGAACTATTTAATCGTTACTTTTAAATACATGTTGAAGATAAAAAATGATTATAACTGAACTGAATATATTCAAATTTGATTTTCTAAAATTTTAATCAATTTTATATCTAATCAATTTATTATATATTATACTTACAAAATTTTTACCATTACAATTTTCAATAACATTATTCAATTATTTAAAATATTTAAGTATGCTTTACTTCAAGCAAGTCAAACATTTTATTGAATTAAAATACACATGTTAAAATAACAATATAGTATGTAAACATTATTGTGTTTTTAAATTGTTTGATAAAATAAAATATATGTATATATTTATAATTATCATTTTATAATACAAAGGTGTTTAATAATTAGTTTTTATTCTTGTTGAAAAAATATAGATTATTGTAGTATATTGATATACTTATTTAATAATTTAAATTATTAAAATGTTTGAAAAATATTTCAATAAATCTTAACTTTTATAAATATGATAAATTTTGAAATATGGTTTATAATACTTAATGTTTTGATAGGTGGTTTTATGTTTCTCTTATCAATATCTTTTAATATCTTATTTTCTATCTAGTGATATCATAAGATTGATAATATATTTTGAAATATTTTTATTATCAGTTTATTATTTCAACCTTTATCAGTGATTCATAATAATTAAATAAAAAGATAGATTTTTTTATTTATTTGATCCTTGTTTATTAGTTTAGGGTTACTTCCAGTTTATATCTTTATGTTACACTCTGTTTTCTTTTTTTTCCATACCAATAATTATATTTTCTTTATTACATTCTCTAATAATTGAAATTAAACTTCACTTAAACTAACTCTTAAAAAAAAAATTACAATCCTTGTAATCGAACTGAATACTTCATTACTTCACTACTACAAACAAAAAGTAATACTGACTAGTCTCTTTGGTTCTTCTGCTCTCTTTGGTCTGTATCAAACCACAAAATACAGAGTCTTCGTCTCTCTTTCTGCTCTCATTTCCTTTTTATTCTTTTCATTTTCATATTTAATCTTTTTTCTCTCTCCTTGTTTATTCTTTCTATTACTTTCAGGTCTTTCCCTGACTCGCTCACCTCTTTCACTTTCAATCCTGATCTTGTTATTTCACATTCATTTATCACATAAATCATTGTTCCTTTCTTTTTCCTGCAACTCCTACATAGCCTGCCTTCTCGTTCATTTTGATATGTCTTCCCTTTAACCTCATTTTTACATCTAAATCTGGCAATGATATTTCATTCTTTCTTCTTCCCTTTAAATAACTTAATTTTTCTGCTCTAGTTATCTTTTCCTATATCTCATTATGTTTTAATTCTTCAATCTTTTTCCTTTTATCCTTCTTTTTCCTTTATCTTTATCATATCTTTATCCTTTCTTTTATCCTTTTGCTTATCTCTTTTCTTCTCTCTCATTCTCCCTTATTTTTTCCATTTCCTTTTTTCTAATCTCAACTTCCTCCTTATTTTCTCCCATTTCTTGCTCCAATTATTCAAAATCCCCTTCTCTTCCCTCTTTCTGCTTTTCTCTTTCTATCTCCTTCAATCATTCTGTTACCATCTTCTAGTTCAATGTCTGCGCTTTTTCTTTGTATTTTATAGTTTTTCTTCTTGCCTTCCTTCTTATTTTCTCATCATTAGTTTCCCCTGCTACAATGTAATTGAGTGTGCACTTCTTTAGTCCCAAAATCCATTTTATATATTTCCTCTTTATTACTGTTGGAACCCGAATTTCAATATACAACACGGGTTCTAGCAACAAGGCTACCTTGGAAAAATACAAGTTGGCGGAGAGGAAAAAAACAAAACAGAAATTGAAACTGGAACTGACTGAACTGAACTGAACTGAATTGAACTGAACCGAACTGGAACTGTACTGAAACTGTCCTCAAACTGAGCTTTCGCAAATTTTGTGAGCGCTTATATAATGTTAGTTTTTGGGAGGGACGAAGATGACCATTGGCCCTTAGTGAAAGTGGGAATGAGTCAATTGTTTTTGGACTCTGAAATAGGTCTGCGTTTATCAGCCAGGTCCTTCTAGTGACTAAGGGCCAACGAATCGTTAGTCATTCAACATTACATTCAATCTGGTTTCCTCCTCCCAAACTCATACTGCTATTGTTGCTTTCTTTAATCTTTTGCATATGTGTGTTTCTGATTTCCTATTTTTTTCATAGTATATCAAAGCTAGCTTATTGTTTTGACCTCTTTCAAGTTGTTTTCTTCCTATTTCCATTCTCTCTTTTTTTGTCTGTTAACCTTTTCCTTGGGAGGGATGTGGTTCAATTCTGTTGGATATCTTATTAGATAATAGATTTTTTGTGTAATATTAATGAATTATAAATAATTTATATAACATACATAAAACAGTTATTTTGAACGAAAAGAAAATGAAAATAATACAAAATATTTATTTTTAATGATTTTATATTATATAGTTAATTTTACTAAATGATTTAAAACTATAGAATCACAGACTATTATAAAATAGTAATGTCAACGAAATATTAAATTTGGTATATCAGTTAAAAACAAGAAATGTTAATTTTTCATGAGAAATAAGATAAGGAATATCCTTATTTTTTCTATTTTACTATTTCTAACTGATATAAGTTTATGTTAAGTTAAGAATAATAATGCCATGTATATTATATGCGAATAACAAACAAGGAATTTGGTTATTATGTAGGGTGTTTCAAACATCCTTTGTTGTGTGCATAATTTCAGGGATCAATTCGAATTTGAACACTAAACTGAGGAACAAAGATCATATAAAAGTATGACTTCATTTACAAATTGTTTGAAGTGGACACTTTTAACTCCGCATCTTATCATATACTTCATTCATTTAAAAATATCAGATGTTATTTGAATTCAGTGACAACTTCCTTGAATATGCTGTTATAATAACTAAACATTATATACTGATATGTTGCAAACCAGGATCTGCTATTATCAATCCAAAGTTAAATTATTACGTAACCGTATTGTAACTTTGCAGATACTGCTATCACCAAAGGAATATATTGGTTAATTCAAGTATATTCCAAAATAGCATTTACATAGTAGATAAGAAGATTGTACACAAAATGTTATTTATAAATAGTTGAAGGGCAGTAGTCATAGGAATAATTGGAAGATAAGAATAGCTATAATTTGACATATGCTTATAAGAATATTATTTTTTATTGTAGTGAATTGAATTTATTCCTATCATTATAGCTATATATTTCGAAACACAAGTAAACATTTTTTGTCACATCACAGTATTATATATATATTAATCTCAGTGTTACAGCCAGGAGATGGACTTGGTTTACAACTATATTTACCCTAACTTAATACTACCATTCACGCTTCACCACACTCTTATTTCCACCATAGAATATAATAGCTACACATTATTTAATGACCGCCTTTGTTTTCTATTGCTTTTATTTTCCCATCTACATTTGTAGCCATTTTTCTACCTTCTTGCTTCCTCTTCCTTCTAACACTTCTTCGATTGAAATTTCCTCTTCATTTACTCTATCACAGTTTTCTATCATATGTTTTAATGTGCTCTCCGCTCTGTTACATAAAATGCACATGCTTTGTTCTTCTGCTATCCAATATCTATTGTTCTTTTTGAAGTTTCCGCTTCTCGCCCTTGCATGAAGTTTCTGGTAATTACCACTTCCTGCTTTATTTAAATATTCCGCATGCTTTAAAGTGCCTATGTATTTATAATATATGTTATATCTCGACTTTCTAATCTTATTATATTGTAACTGACCTTGTAATTCTCTATCTTTTTTCTTAATTAAGTTTATTATATCCCTACCTCTTTCTTCTAATATTGCCACATGTAATCGACTTAGACCATATCTTTGGTAAAATTTTTCTTTATCTTTCCAACTTCTAGTTTGGTATCTGCTACTCTCCTTTTCTTTTAAACATTCCTTGGCTAATAACCTTCCAGTCGAGGTCTTTATCCCTGTTTCAAATTTTAGTGCCCTAATTCTTGCCCTATTTGCTATCCTGTTCCTTTTTATTTCCTCTAATACTATGTAATTCGGAGTGCTCCTTTCTAGTCCTAAACACCATTTTACGTAACGTAACTGCACTACCTCTAAACTATTCAGGTCTTTCTACCCAAATACTAAATCTACCCATATAATATTACGCTCGCCACCAAGCTATTGAACATATACATTCTTTTATGGAATTCGCCCTAAATTTTCTTTCACCAATTCCCCATTCTCATAATTACATTAGCTTTTCTTACTCATTCCATTATGTGTCTTGTCACTCCTCCGTTTTCGTGGAATTTAAACCCCAAAGATGTGAACTCCTTCACTGTTTCAATCCTCTCACCTTTCTATTTCCACTCTTGTTTCTTTTTCCTACCTCGTCCTTTCCTAAATATCATTAATTTTCATTTATTTACGTTAAGTTCCATCTTTTTCTTATCTAGGTACTTTTCCAGTCTCTTCATTGAAAGTCTCATATTCTCTTCATTATCAGCTACCATTATTATATCATCTGTTTATGCTAACGCATAAAATTTTTCTTTTCCTACAATTACGCCTCCAACTTGCTCTTTCCTCATCTCTTCTTCTAGGTTTGATACATACAGATTGAACAGGGTCGGACTCTTCTTCGTCTAACATTCTTCGTCTAGAATTCTTCCGAGGATTCTCCTTCACATCTTATTATGTTTATCGTTTCCTCGTACACCTCCTTAATTCTTTCAATTATAGGTTTACTTATTCCTTTCTTTCCCATGACCTTCCAAAGCATACTTCTGTTTACTTTGTTAAATGCCGCTTTT